CCAACCAAAACCAAAAAGCCTTGATAATAAAAGCTTCTTTGAAAAATCTTCCAGGAAGAGAAAATAGGGATTTTGGAGAGGATATTTTAAGGTTATCTTAATATGTCACTGTAAGTAGGCTAAAATATAAATGGAGAGAAGTTTAAACAGATGTTTCAGAAAAATTATTAAAACCCTCTAAGTGCTCAGGAAACAAACAAAGGCTCTATGTTCCAGAAAGATTCCAGTTACATTTAGCAGCATTTCTTTTTCAAAAAGAAAATTTTGGTTTCTGACATCTCGACATGCAAAAACCTTTTTCTGTTCTGGATTGTTCCRTCTGGGTTTTAGTAATATGTTTTGTTTTTTGACTTCCCTATAGTGTTTCAGAAATATAACTTTCATGAGTTTTCAACTTATTATACAATGCATGCAGGGACTGGTGATAAATGCAACCAGGACACTTTTGATTTCCCTTTAAAACTACACAATGTAGCTTCAAAAACACTTAGGAAAACAAAATATCTTCTGTTTAGCAAATATTTGACCATCTGAAGTAGGTTTTGATTTCTAGAACAGTTCAGAGAGAAATTCAGAGACATATAGGAGATACAATCTSAATCTTTCTATGCAGGGGTATATCAGTAGAGATTTCAAAAACATAATGAATTAATTATGAATGTAGTATTAATTTTTAATAGTGCCCACTGTCCTTTCAATATTTATGTGTTTACAACATGACACTTCGTAGGCCAAGACAGCTTTTCATGTTGTTTTAATATTTACTAGTTTTTTGTCATCACTTGGAGTAATTGTTGCTAATGCATGCTATTTAGAGGTACCTTTAATACACCCAAAATTTTGTGACCTATTTTGTTTTCCCAACAAAATCTTTCAGCACACAGTCAGGGGACAATGAAATGAAGAGGAAATTATGTTCTTGCAACATGGTACATCCCCTGAAATCTTTCAAGGGAAAAAGGAGAATTAACTGTACAAAGGGAGATGTGGGAAAATAATAAGACAGCATGCAGCAAGTAATACAGATTTTTGCCAAAGAAATATTTAATATTAGTAGGTATTCCAGCAGAGATCCTAAATACTCAGGATTTACCTGAGTAATACTTCATATTGGTAACCAATATGTATAACCTCATATTGGTAACAACTACATATGGACTGCAGGTGTTTGTACCTGCACTGTACCCCAATTTTAGAATAGATTCCCATAGAATTCTAACAAGTCTTGGACAAAAATGATTTCAAGATCAATTCATATTACAGAAATCTCCAAAAGGAACAACAATCTAAAAACACACAATGCTGAAAGATTTTTCAAAAGGGAAGTGTGAATTTTTGAAGGCAGCTCCAGTCAACTCTAGTAATAAGGGTCTGTCAAATTMCGCATCTCTTCTAGTGTATTTTAATAAACTTCACATCAACAGAAATAATAGAAAAAAGGTTTTATGGGGAATAAGGTGAATATGTTGCTCTGCAAAATTAACACTGAGAATTTATTGTTTTGTTCTGGCATTGCAATGAAATTAAGCATCTGTATGATTGACTGATTGGCTCTGGATTTGTACTCATTTAGTGCCTTGCAACCCACTACACAGCCTGGTCACTTCAAGTTTTAGTATTTGATATAATTCATATCAGAAATAAACATTGCAATTTCACTGAAGGATGTAGCTATGAGAATAAAAGTCTCAAACTTGGTCTGGAACATAGCATGAAAAGAAAGGAAACCAATACCCATTAATGTGACTGCTCTGCAAATAGAGAAAATTCACTGTCTTCTTTAGGTCTTCTAGTATTGAAAGAAGTCCAAGCTATACTGGAATAAAATGAATGTTGCTGTGATTAACATTACTACATTTATACACACAGTTACTGTGTTTGGCTAAGAAAAACAAAAGATAAAGATTCATAACCTGGTTTTTGAATGCATGGAAGCTACATATCCATTGTGTGTTTCTTTGAAATAATTCTGTAATTTTGAACGTGTTCTGTTTAGTGCAGAATTTTTGAATGAGGGTTATAGGAGAATGAGGATAGGAAAGGGAAGGAAATAACACACCAGATTTGCTACACTATTTGTTACATTTTTGTCTCCTGTGACTGCTGATAGCAGAAAAACCTTTCACCTCCTGCAGTATTAATCAGAAAACTGTTGGAACTGCCTTAATTTGCACTAAAAGTACCAAAGGGTACATTTGGATGCAAGGGYTAGTATTACTCTGTATAAACTCCCTAATTCATCAGAGGTCTAAAGAATTCTTGTTTGTTTGGGAATGTGTGTTGAATAAACATCATAGATATGCTTTTGAAACAGATATTACAAATATTAACAGATATGTAGAAAATTTATTAAGCAGGTCAAAATCAGTAATTAATGGCCAGGATTAAATATTCCATTACAGCCTACTTAAAACTTAATTATGATTACTAAAAATTAAAATTAATTTAATGAAAATTAATTTGGCTGCCTACATAATGCAAATTCTCAAAAGCAATCTCATTTGCACTCTCTGAAATGTATAGTTTCAAAAGCTGGCTTTCGRCTGGACATGAAAAATGGACAATAAKTGTAAAGGTTTCTAAAACTAAAAAGTAACGGTTGGCTTTTAAAACATAGCAGAACTTCTTAAGGGGTGGAGAGAGGTCTGCACTAATACAGTTACAAATAATGATAACTAATAAATAAATAAATAACACTAACAAAGTTACAGCTGCTGGACTGAGACAAAGGAATAGTTAAGATATACTTACAGTCTTTTCCTTGCACATTCCTCTCAGCTAAAACATTCCCATTTATTTTGTGTATACTTACTTTGAACTCCATGGGAGCGAACTATTTTCCAGGTTTCCGAGGCTACCTCTTTGACATCCACTTGGTAGTGGTGGATGGGCACACCTCCATGTGAATCTGGCTTGTTGAACGAAACCTTGGCAGTGGTTTGGGACAGCTCTAAAACTCGCACTCCGTASGGGTTTGATGGCACATCTAAAAAAGTACAAACACAGTTTCATAATCAGCAGCAACTAGACAGACCTAAGCAGCTGATAATSTACCCACAAAATCTTCCTTGGAGTCTACAAAGGAGAAAGAATTATTATATATGGTGCAATAATATCAGATAAACAACTTCAACTTTCTACTACAGAGCTGTAAGAAAATCACATTCATTTCCTTGTATGTTAAAGTACTGCAAAAACATTTTCCAATTTTGCTTTTTTTTTTTATAATATGATCTTTTATAATAGCTAATTTCATCACAGTCAAATGTAAGAGAACAGTTTGTTGACTGTATAATTAYGTAAAAGAGAATAAGAAACTTTAAATCAAATTTAACAAAAGGAACAGTTACAGCTAAATAGATCATTCAGAGTCTAAATTCTGCTAAATAAGATTATAACAAAGAACTGCATAAATAATTTGGCCATTTTATGGAAYTCTGAAATACAGCTGAAAACATGAAAAACAGCCTTTTTTAAAGACTGGATTTCAAGCTAAGAAAATGTACTAATGGAAGGTTTCTATTCTCTGTTCAGTTTAAGAASTAATTTGCAAAATAAGTTGAAAGAAACATTTTCCCTGAAATCAAAAGCAAAAGCATATCTTTCAAAGTAGAAAAGATCTATGGAAATAGAGGAGKTGTTTTTAGGTGTCAAAATGTTACATATGAAACAAAGCCAAAAAAATAACATTGGAATCAGTAAATCTTTAAAAATAGAAACATTACATTATTTTTACAATTTATGATCAAACACATACAATTCAAAAGACTATCCCTTTTTAATTGTACTACATTTTAAAGTGTTATAATTATAAAAAAAAAATATATTGAAAATGTTAGGAATATTATCAGTTTTGTGRACAGAATATCAGGGTTTTGAAACACCATGAAGAATTCCTTTWCTGATCCATCTGAAAATGATTTGCATACCTGCTTCCAGATTTGACATTGCTTTTGTCTCCATGTTAAAAAAGATATTTTTGTAAGGACATGCCAGAATTTCAGCCAAAGCCTGTAATTTGTTTAGTGGATAATGAAACATTTACAAAAAATACTGTCTGTATTCAAAGGCTGTCAGACAGTGGRAATAATAAGAGAATCAATCTGATCTTCATTCAGCATTGGTACTTGAATGAAAATGAGTCACAAATTTCTATAAAATATTAAAGAATAGATTGAATTATGTATTCAGACACAAATTCTCAGGAAAAGGAAATGCTAAAGCTGGTCTAAAGGGGCTGATTTGTATAACCTTTTGATTATCAGAAACTTAATTATTTTTCCAGAATATAATCTCTATCAGTGGTCAGCCTTGAGTGTCTAACACTGGTATCATAYCTTTTACAGGTGGCATTTCTGATTCCAGGTCTCCTGAAACCTCCAATTCTTGGTGTTCATTGGGTTAAAACCAGCAGAGATTCATTTTTATGGATGAACAATTGTAATATCTTTTACTCAATGACACAATTATCTGAATCCACAATATTACAGATTTTAGTAGAATTCAAGAATTCAAGTCTCAGCTTGAGAGATTCAAATCCTTTCTTATTCCAGGAAACATTCATCAGGATCTGGGATTTTGCCCGAAATTTTTACTCTAACAAAGGGGCTGAAGATTCATTATCAGATAGAACATGACCAAATGTAACCAGTCTGTTTTGCATCTGTGAGAACACAGCCTTGTGTTTGGGTCTTCTAAACTGATCAAAAGTTGGGGATTTTTAGAAAAGAGAAATTATGTTCATAAAACCAGGCAGATTTACATGTGATTACATAGAAGAAGAATGATTTATATGAGTTAATTGCTAAGTAAGTGTTGATCCCAAAATCAGAGGAGGCTGAGGATTAGAAMCACCTTGGGACCGACCCCCTTCCTTCAGATTCTCATTAAATCTGAGAGAAATTATTACTTTTCCCCCCAATAGAGTAATTAAACACATAAGCACCATTCTGTTTACAGATTCCTTCTCTCCTGAGCTCAAATGCTGGTTCAGAGAGGAGTGGTAAAAATACAGGGTAAGAATCCCAGCARAGCAATCCAGGACAGCCATACTGAAGCAGAATGGCACTGTGTGAGTGAAGTGGATACCAGCACTTAAGAAGATGAATGCCAACATTCAGTATGGAAGATTAATGATTTTTGCTTTTAATTGCAAGCTAAAAGTGGCTGTGGATACCTACAGAATTATAAATTGCTTCAAAACATCTTAAAATTTGTTTTCTCTTTTTTAAAAGAGTTCAAAAATGAAACAAACAAATATTGAGGGGATKAATTAATGAATATCTAATTAATTTATGCTCTTTTAATGTGAGTTTATGGATGATATTTTAATAAGGCAATTCACTGGTGTTTCTGTTTGCATCAAAACAATTATTTGGTCAATGTTATGAAACAACAATATGTTATTTACATACCCACTCTGTTCTTGACTTTCCAAATGTTAAGAAAACCTCTTTTCTTTGTGTGTTAATGCCTGTGTATGGTTAACTATAACAAGCATGGCATAGGAAAGATTAAATCCTTCAGGAAGAACCTTATGTTCTCTACTGGAAATTYAAGTATAATTTCTGCCAAACAAAGATGATTCCAGTTGGTAATAAGCATGAAACGAAGCTCCTTTGAAAACCCAGGATGGTATTTTGCATATCTAGCACAATGTAATATGTTTAGAACTCATTGAAGTGCAAAATATATCCATAAAACTATTTTAAATATGCATCCCACATTCCAAGCCACCCACACATGCAGGTRAGTTTTATGCAGTTTTCAGAGTTGAATTCTATCAGTTGTTAGGAAAAGGGTGAATCACCTGAAGAAAATATAGCAGGAGACAAATTTCCCTAGTGAAAACCAAAACCAAATACTAGCAATACCATTAAGATATTATAAAATAACTACTATCTCTTTCCATCTAGGCAAATCCATAACTTTTTTTCCCCAAAGAAGATCAATAACAGCATAATGAACTGAATCTAATTCTGCAGTTCTCTAATGAGTATGAATTTGATCATACAAGGTATACAGCCTTCTGGTCCTGATCCAGCTAAGCATTCCAGCATTTGAGCTGTACCCTGTCAGCTGCAATTACTGGGAGCATTGCCATGAATTTCATGTTAGAATTGCAAGGCTTTTGGATCAATGTTTAGCAGGAGTGAAGAATAATTTGCAATGTTGTGCATTCTGAAGTCTGTGCCTGGAAGGAGAGAGCTGTGGATGTTTCCTCTTCTTTTTCCTTCTAAAAACAACCAACAAAATGAATCTTAGAGGAGTTTAACTCCAGGCAGTGATGACTAATTCATATACTGTTAYAGATATAAGCTGAAGGACTGTGTAGCAGAAAATGCACAGGATTTACTTTCTATGATCTAAAGATCACTCAGTGATAGCAAAAATTCCAGAATACTTTCTTAGAATGCCTACTGCTATCTGGTTTTGTCATTGTACTGCTGTCAAAAYGAGATAATTCATCACAAGTTCAACTTTTTAATTAAAGACATAAAAAGACCCCAATAGTGTCAGACATTTAATCAACTTTTTCTTTCCTCAGCTCTGTTCAATGTTACTGTATTCATGTATGATGTTAAAGAATCAAATAAAATCAAAAAGTATCCCCAAACAGTAGGCATAAAATTGYGTTTTATGTATTTTGTACTCAGCACATAATGCTGGTTTGCACTAATGAACTTTGTGATAGAATGGCCTAATTAAGCAGCATTGGTTTGGTTTCAAAACCAGTATCACAGCTGATGGAGAAGTACACACAGAATTACGAGTACACATTTATCTCCACTGATGTGTAAATGGCCTTTCAAGTCTCCTAYATTTATGACCAAACCTGTTCAATAAATGAACAGTTTTTATCACTGAGGATTTCCTTTTCAAGCTATTCTTTGATAGCTTTATGAAAGAAAATAACTTTCCTTCTCAGAGTTGAGCAGTCCTGGCACAAACAGAGAAAAGGAACTGGTGCAGGGAGAWTGGGTAGCAGGCTCAGAGATTGATTTTCCAGTTAGCTCTTGTCTCCCATCAGTTTGTTCCTACTGCAGCTCTCCAGCCTTCCCTGTCTCTGTACATCTGGCACATATATTSACTGGAAATAACTCTGTCTAAATGCTGAATCTGAGCAGCACCAGAACCCTGGCAAGGAAAGAGATGAGGCTGGGGACTAGATTTTTGGAGTCAAAAATCTCTATGAAATAGTTTGTTCTTGAACATCCTTAGAATGGAGAAAAAAATCAATATTAAATCTGCACAGGTTTCTTTTACCAGATTTCTGGGAGTTCTGGAAAAATAAGTATTAGGTTATTAAACACAACCACAGCTAGGAAATAAATACATAAATAATGAATTAGAATAAGACACATGCACACAAAGCAAAACACTGCTGCCATGTAGATAGTTTCACACATTGCTAACTGCAAATATGTTGCTGCTTGGTTCTTTTTAAAATAAAAATCATTTAGCTAAGGCTGCTACGATGTCAATGGCAAGTTTTAGAAGAGCAAGTGAGATTTTAGGTCTGTCTATATTTTTAGGAAATGAACAGACTTTTGGAAGAACACGATTTTCTTTTTTCATTATACTGTTCTCCAGGGAAAATTAGGTCCTACTCCTTTGAGTTTCTTTCACCTCTATGGAAATGCAAATACTTGGAGAAAAAAGAAAAAAAAAAACAAAAACATCCATTAGGCACTAGTAAAGTTCTGGCACCAAAACTCCAGACTAATAAACTTCTAAATTTGATATTGTAGTCTTTGTTAGTAATCAATCAGCCTTATCGTATTTTGAACATGACTTTTTTCCATAAAACAGGTTACAGGATGCATTTTCAGTGAAGCTCAATTATTGTATTTCCCATGTCTTCATTTTCTTTTKTTATCGTTATTTCCCATCTTCACTGATTTTCAGCATGCACAGGATGCTTAAAGAATATCTAATTCAATGAAGTGGAGCAGGAGTTCTCAGTATCTAATGACATCATTGTTTGTTTTTTTAATTCCCTGTAATATTCCTGTGGAAAGGAAACAGATAAATCATACAGCTACAGGAGATGTAGCATCTGGTCTAGTGAAAAGTCCCTATTTAAAAGCAGGACTTTTAAACCCTATGCCATCCCAGAAAAAAAAGGAAGTAGGGGAAAGCCTAGGATAAGTAAAGCTATGAGAGCCTTAGAAATAAATACCGGTTTACTTTTTAGAACTCTAGATTCAGCCCAGCTATACATCCAGCTATGTACAAAATCTGCATTAAAAAAAAAAAAAAAAAAAAAAAAAAAAAAAAAAAAAGAAAGAGAAACCTTGGAAAACTTAGTTTTGCTATGTGTGACAACCTTAAAACTTACCATAAGACATTAAATTACCTATTCCAATAGCATAGACCTAAACTACTGATGGCCACATGATTTTCTATTTACCTACATTAAATAATAAAAATAAKGATACTGAGACCTCTGCGAAACAGAAAAATGTTTTTCTAATTCATACTGGCACCCTGCATGGTGATATTTCACATAAACTATGGATCAACTAGGTTTGGACAAATCTAGGAATATCTGTGCTCACTTCAGGTTCTGAGAGCCATTGGGACAACCTGTCAAGCTGACCTGGCTTGCCAAAATTTAAGCCTGTCCTAGATCAAAACCGGAGTGTAAGTAAAGTTTTAAAAGACAAGTTGTGGCTGTGACATGAAGGAATTAATTTGCAGTGGTTAGAAGTGACTGYGGTTCTTTTCATATTCTATATGTTACTCACATAACATTTTAAAAGCTCAGATAATGAAAAAGGAGGTCAACCACATGCTATTTTTAAGAGGTGATCACCACAAGTCAGGTCATGAGCACATCTGATTAAGCCAGCAAAAAAGCTCTGATTTTTCTAAGCTGGACAGCACCTTCTAGTGTGAAACCTCAAATACTCTGCAGCTTTTCAGTTGTTTCTTTCAAAAGGTTTAAATGGAATTCAGGCCGATTCAGTAGCTCTGTATCATCTGAGTGAACAGTTATGGCTTTCCTATCATACAAATATGGTTGTAAATGACATATAAATACTGAAAGAAATCTCTTTTTAATCATCAATAAGCCTATTTTCTTAAGGAATGCAAAAGGAATAAAGATAATGGAATTGTGACAGTATGATCACTTTCTAAGCAGCAAAAAATTAAAAAAAAAAAAAAAAAAAAAAAAAGGTCGTTTGATTCTGCTGAAATCCAGCAAAGCAGGAAATGGAACAAAATATGAAGGAACAAGAAATTTCTGCAGATTTTAAAGAGAAAACTATTCAGTAAAATGATCATTATTTGTGATCAAATTTACTCTAGCAGCTTACTTTACTTAATACTGACTCCCAGCTAGGAATTATATTTATTTTTCCCTGACAGAGCCTTTTAAAAAGTATTCTACACCCCAGCAGTTGTATTTACAATCAAAGCCAGAAGGCAATCCAGGCTGCATTGAAATACATAGAAGGATTTTATAAGCTTTAATATCGAAAATATCAATCATTAGGCCTTCCTAATAAACCAGAGTGAAAGTGACCGAGGTAATAAAACCAGGGAGAATGTTGCATTCGATATCTTATACCTGCAATTACTTTAATGGCTTTGTTCTCCATCTCCTTGATTATTTTCAATGTACAGCTGATGCCAGTTTAAATACAAAACTTGTAAAGTGAACTACATAGTTGGGTTTTTATTCCAAAAACAAAGTCYATTTAGAGGCAAATGTTAAAAAATACCAGTTTTTCAGGATACTGAATATTAAGCRTTTCACTACTGTAAGTAGTGCACAGCAATCCACAGTGACACCCCAAACCCAGTGCTTCCAGCCCTGTTCATTATCACTACTAAAAAACCTGGTTTTCTTTTTTTCTGAATTTAATATCATTATATAGAATATCCACATATAGCTCATTCTTTACATTATGTCTTCCCATAATTCTGTTTATCCTGATTAACCTTCTCATGTTTGTAACTATAATGCATATTTTTAAGTGTTCATCATACATATTTTTAAGTGTTCATTGAATTTTCTGAAGAAATGCCAGAAAAATATAAAAAAAAAAAAGCAAAGCATTGCAAAAGTAGAGAATTATTAACCTCATTGAAAAACTGGTGTCAGTAATATTTCTGATGCAGCTGCATTAAAAAGTCAAAACAGTATTATTGTTTGCTATTTGTTTTTCCTGGCATTTCCAGGTTTGCTCATTCATAAATTTCCTGAAATAAAATGACAAAATAGGTTCTTTTTCAATTAACTATGCTAATTTTTTTGATTAAGATTGATTAATTATTAAGTTACAAAAGCAGAGGATATATACATAGCTAAAATAATCATCRTGTCGTATCATGTGTTGCGATGAGATCCAGCTCTGCAAAAAGAGAAAAAAACAACTTTCTGGAGAATATCTGTTGAAATGCTCTCCCAAGTATATACATATTTATGAAAATTCATAAATTATTAAAATAAASCACACCGTGGCAACCACAATATTTTTTCAGCATTTTCTCTCCTGAGAGGTAAGATACCAGAGGGATGCAAGTAGGGATTTTCCTTTCCTTTCCCATTATTTATGTTCATGAATTCAAGAAAACCTTTTTTCTTCAGTAGTTGAATGTAGCTGTCAAGGGAAGGTAAGATCGCAGCACAGCTAAAACACCCCAAAAGTTGTAAAATTAAGGGTAATGAATCTTCTGAATGATGTAAAACTGTAGGCGATAGAAATTTGATATTTTCGTAAATTAAACCCCATATTTTCCTATTTGAGGAAGCTCAGCACTTTTGATGGTTATTCAAAACCAAAAAGAAATATTATAGTATGACTAGATGTACACATTTCAGGAATGCTCCCCCAAAATTCCTCCTGGTAGGATTCAAAAGTGTTTATTTTCCCATTAAAAAAACCCAAAACAAACAACAAAAAACTAGACCAAAAGCTTACAACTAAAACACCCGAAATCATTTGAAATACATGTGTCCCAATGAAAAAAAAAAAAAAAAAAAAAAAAAAAAATTAATGTGGATTTGATTATTTCTATCAACTCCTTCATGTGTCAGCCAGTCTGGCAGTAGGGGACAACCTGGAGGCTACATGATAAAAATGATCCAAAAAACACATCCCAAGGGGCTCTCCGTGTGGCTGTACCTTTAGTGCTGTCAACTGCATTTTAACTCCAGAGGTATCATTAAAGTTGGCACAGTTTGTATTATCATCTGTATAAATCCAAATGCTTGGAGACCTCAAAGCTGAATGAGCTTTAGTCCATTCCACAAGAAAACATTATTGAGAGCACTGCTGAGAAACTCTCATTTAGTGTCAGTGAACAGTTATTTCTGCCAAAGAGTAAACATGCAGTCAGATATTTCTATTTGCCTAAACAACAATAGAAGGGCATAAAACCACACAGACACTCTCTAATAATAAGGTGTAGAATGTCTCAGCACTGAAGTTAATTCAGTCTAGCTCTCTGGGTCAAACTCTACATTTAAATACCTAAAAGTGCAAATGGAGATAGAAATTCTTTGCTGGAATATTTCAGTCTTTGACCTTTGTTGGTTTATCAAGAATATACCAGGGAGAAAAAGGAAAAAAAAAAATTTCTTAATTCTCTCTTACTTGTACTGCCTGCAAACCAGATGTCTCTCTGCTGAACACTGTTACAAATGTAGGATGTAGTGAGTGCAGAAGAAAAATAGACTAATTTAATTTTTTTCAGATTTCAGAAGGCCTTAAAATTAAATCCAAAGAAGATTCATATTCTGAAGGAACTGGTTTAGTTTGCTTCATATTGCAACTCAACTTTTAGAGAATTAAATTATCTGAAAACAGTCCATGGAATAAAATAAACAGAGGTTAGTGTGTCTGAACTTAATTTTGATTAAAGTAGGAAAAATATTTGAAGGAAAGAAAACAAAATTTTAACTTACCAGCTTGACTAAGYGTATACTCCTGATATCTTGTTCCTATTCTGTTTGTGGCTGTACAATTATACCGTCCAAAATCACTGTCAGATGTGGGGGCAATCTTTAAAATGAAGACACTTTGTAAATATTAGTTACTATTCAAATACAACTTAAAAATAAAAAAAAATCAGAAATTCAAATATGTTCTCCTTAACCAATATGCAGAAGTGTTTYTACTTCAGCATGTCTAGTATATTCTCCAAGTATAGAGATAAATATACTTTTTTCATTATTAACGCCCCCTTCTCAACTTCAAATGAGGAAATCCAATAATGGAAAATAGTGATATTGTTCAGCTTTATAATTTCACCTTTAAATAATTAAAAAAAACCCTAATAATTTTTTTGTAGATACCAAGCACCAACCAGGCAGTCAGTGCAATTTTTGCTATTAGCTTGATAGTTTAGTTTCATATCTAATTACGGATTCATTTACTTCCAAGAAATGCAAATTACATTTTTGTTAGGTCAAGTTGGAAAACTGAGCTACAAGCCATTCAAGTAAGATTTATTTTGCAACTGCTCATAAGAAACGTGTAGATAAAACAGTGTATATACATTTGTTTGTTGTTTTTGCTCCTTTTTTTAAAGTAACTTTTTTTGCTCCTTATTAAATTTTAGGTCTAAGCCTTTAATACACTCTGAAGTACTCTCAGTGCTGCCAAACTGAGGACAAAACTATATTCAGCAACCACGCTGATTTCCATTTTAAGCCTTACCTCAAGAATCAGCTTTCTTCCCGTACTGTAGGTCTTCAAATGTGTTGTATTTTTTACAGGTAAAACTAATTTTCCTCTTTTCCACTGAACTGAGGCAGATGGATTTGCCATCACTTCACAGCTGATATTGATGGGATTGCCTTCCCAAGAGTAATACACRGTTTGATTTGACACAAATGTTGGAGCATCTGCAAAAAAGGAAGTAATGAACAAGTTTATGAACTGGGTTAGTAAAACAAGCGATATCCAAGCTTTCATGTTCCCTGAGAAATTCCAATTCATTGTTGTGGCAGCTTGTTGTGGAACATGGAAGTGTTAGTATTCACCCTTGAATTCAGCCTTCAACCTTGTTTGTTGGGCTTTTATCTTGGTAGGTTTCTCCTCTCCTAAAAAATATTTCAGCCAACATTCTCGTGAAAGAGAATATCTGTTAATTATATTTAGCGTTAGGCAGTATCAGGCCCTTGAAAGACTCTCTCAGAAATAAGGAAGAGCATTTCCTTTTGAGGATAAGAAACTCTTCATCAAGAACCTTGCATGATGAARGGAGCTGACCTACAGAACATACATTGTCAATTCATGTGCTGATTTTAGAGTGTCTTTTTTTTTGCTATGGAGAAATTACATTCACTCCCACAATTTTCTTGTGCTATCACTTCACTCATTTCTCACTGGAACTTTATGATACTTTATGAAATCTTCCTAAAGAGAGATGTTTATTTGTGGGAATAAACATTTAGAAAATAGCAAGATAATATAAAAAATATTGCAGCATATTCTACCTACTTGCAGAAAATGTATTGTGTGTACACTATTTAGGACAATCTTTACATCAGTTCCTTATAAAATTGTCAAGCTACAGCCAAGCAAGAAGATGGTGTATTTTTGTTACAGCCAAGTAAAAAGATGGCGTGTTTTTGTAACAAACCTGCCTAGAAATGGCATTGAACTGAACACTGAGTCTGAAAAAGAGGAAATTGCAGGTTTGTAAACTAGCTGTRATTTTCAGACCACCGTGTCACTGACAAGGGCTTTTCTACTCACTGTTTCTCTAGAGAGCAGGAAGTTTAGTAATCTCCAGAAAATGAGARGGAGCAGCCTTTTCCCTCCACTTCTTCTTATGTCTTAGGTGAACAGTAGCTTTCTTCTATCAAATATTTTTTTCGGGTTTTTTTTTCCTAATTTTTATTATTATTATCAATCTTTTAAGAATAYAAAAAATGTTCTTTACTCAAGGAAACTCCCTTAGTGCTTTAATTCCAAAAGAGAGTTATCAGTTACAGCTGTTGCCATGGTATCTCTTTTTAATACCTGAGATATATATGTATATATTTTTATTTTGATAAATATTTCCATCCATAAACATCTCCTAAAGGTTTTCAGACATGTCTCTGAAAAACATATAGTTAAATTTCGGGCAAGAAATATCCTAATAGGTCTATCGGAGACCAGAACTGAGCATCTTTAAGTATGAAGTAAAATTTAGCTTCAGGAATGATTAGAAACAACTTTTTCTTTTCCTCTGAATTGCACATTTTCAGCTTCTTTCTCTGTTTGTTTTTGTGGAAAAGCACAACTTTTTGATGACATGTGCTGCTGCTGCATGTGGGCATACAGGCTTTGAGCAGAAAGAACTGTTATCAATGGATGTTTTAAAGTACAGATCAAAGCTGCTGCATTGCTCAAGGCCAGCAGCATCTCCTTTAATAACTGTTCAGCCCTTATTTTTGTAGAAAAACAAGCATTTCCATCTAAATAAGTAAAGCCTGCCTGGCTATGAATTTATTTACCAGACACAGGAGCTCCACATGTTTCAATAAGTAATTCTAGTGATCTCGATTTTCACAGACCCTTAAATAMCCCCATATTTCATCGGCTGAACAGTTTAATGCAAAGAACAGATTATCAAAGAGTTTTCAGTGTGACATCTCACACTAGTGGGGCATATGAGGAAAAAGCAAACTGCACAAGAGTGTTTTGTGGTTAGGTACAGTCAGGAATCTCAGAACACCAAGGGCCAGAGCCCCTGCTTTTCCTYTGAAAATGGAGTTCATGTTTTGAATCACTTGAAGGGAAACTCTACAAACTGATTTCTGCCTGTKCAATAGATGGATCAATAAAATGGTCAACACATAGATCAAAAATCTCATCAGAGTGTTCATGAGGCTCCAAATGAAGTTATTTCATGACACATTCTATGTAAGATGTGTCTCCTCCCAATGTGCAATTTCTCAGGATAAGTTCATTCCATTAATGATCAATGGCAAGAATACTGAAGACTAAAAGATATTCTGAATCTGAGTAACCTTCCTTCCTAAATAATACTGTGTAATTTGATGCTCTCTGATGATTTGAATACAGATGTCAAACTCATATTTTAAGACTTAGAGAAATAGRGCACACTTCTACACTGCAGATAAAATAATTTAAGAGAAGAGGGACTTCCAATTCATACTTTTCTCTCTTTTTAAAGTAGATTTTGAGTGACCATAGTATTTGTTTRTATTTTAAAAGAATAGGTAAGTTATGGAGTACCATCTATACCAGACTACAGGTACTAACWGGCATAAACGTAACAAAACAAAAATAAGACTAAAAGTCTGTTAAATAAATATATTCACAATATTCCCCAAATAAACAACTCAAGATTGTAAAGCRTTCCCCCCCTCCCCCCAAAAAAAAGCTTTGTAATTTCCTTCTGGCTAAAAAGCCAGGGTAAAAAGGTTTTGCAGAGCTCCAGTATAGCAAAAGGAAGAGGACTGTGCTAATGACTTGATTCAGAGGAATTATTTTAAAGCAGTCATTTTTGATTTCCTAGTCAGGAACACACTAACATGCCTGGAGTAATGTTTTACATAAAGAAAATAAGTCTGGAAAAGATTTTCTTTTTACAGTACAAATAAATGATCGTTTACATTTCTTAAAAAACTGAAAAATTGAGTTGGAAGGGAATAATTGATTTATAAAGAGAACTTGTTTTTTCTTGTATGCTCTTCATCTCTAACTGCAGTTTATTATGCTTAAATGGTTACAGAATTAGTATTTATCTAACATAAACACATATTATGTTTAATACAAAATAAAGAATGAAAAATTACAAACCTTAAAGTCAAGTCTTTAAAAACATCAGGTTGACTATTTTATATGTCTACAAAATGTGATTCCACCAGTTTTACAAAATAACTAAGAAACAAATTACAGTACCAAACAGAATGCTTATCAAAAAATTCCATCAACTGAAAATGAAGTCAAACCAAGTAGAAATGAGAAGCTGTTCTGATTKGTTTACATATGTTAAGCTTCTTTAAATGCAATATAACTAATGCTTAAAAAGAAAAGATTCAATGGAAATCAGTTAGAAATTTAAAGCCATTAAAAATAAATAACGTGCTCTGCTYATCTTCTATGTAACTCAGAATTCATTTGCACCTGACAAAAATCAATGCAGGGTGCAAATGAACGGTTTCTTTTAAGCTTTTTTTACATAAAGTATTACCAGTCAAGATGACATACAAGAATTCTAAACAGATAAGTAGAAGCAGGAGCTTGAACAACCTCCACTAAAATAAAATAAAAAAAAATTAAAATTAAAAAAAAAATCAACTCTGATGTATTTCTTGTATCTAAACTTTTGGCACTTTACTGAAAGCAAAGTGAGACCTCCAAAAATGCAAAAAAAAATACAAAAGCTAGCATTCCAATGTGTTAATACAGGCACACAATATAATGKAACAGCTCAGTTTGGAAAGGACCTTAAAGATCACCCAGTTCCAAATGCCTGCCATGGGTAGGAACACCTACTATCCCAGGKTGCTCAAATTCCCATCCAYCCAGGCATGGGACAGCCAGGGCTTCWCTGGAAAACMTGTTCTAGTGCCTCATCACCCTCACACTAAAAAAAATTTCTTCCTAAAATCTGATTTAGAAAAATTCTCTCTCAGTTTTAAACCACTGTCCTTGTGCTATTGCTACAGGTAAAAAGTTTCTCTTATAAGCCCCCTTTGCACACTGAAAGGCAGCGAATGTGTCCTTGGAGCCTTCTCTTCTCCAGGTTTCTCAACCCCAATTCTCTCAGCYTGTCTCCATGGCTGCACTGCTCCAGCTTTCTACCTTTATGACCCTCCCCTAGACCTGATCCAGCAGGTCCATGTCCTTCCTGCATTTGATGTCCCAGAGCTGGATGCAGCACTGCAGGTGGGGGCCTTACAAAAGGTGKGCAGAGGGGCAGAATCACTTCTCYYGACCTGCTGGCCACSGGGCTTTGGATRCARCCCAGGGTGTGATAAAGCTCACAAGATTTTAAGRTTCAACTATGAAAGATCCAGTATTATTTTGGAGAGATGAGGCAGTCCAAATGAAAAAGATGCCTTGAAGGAATAAAGACTACATCACAAAAATATAAAATTAAACTGAACTGTTCTATGGGAGTAGGATTGTGTAAGAAATTATAAATTTTGARTGACATTTTAGAGTAGTTAATGTAGTAGTTAATGTTATGGCATTAGCTAAATTCAAGCTCTTCATTTTTCCAAACAAGAAAGAAACTGACAGGTCAGCACTCCAATTAGAATGAGTTCTGGACAACCTGCGTAAGAGGATTATTGAAGAGAAGMAAATTCTGACCCGAAAGCTATCTCTAGCATTTAGGTATCCTTGTTAGTTATAATGTCCAGGAACAGTGGTTCAAAAACAGACTAATACATCACCTGCCTTGTCCAGAAGGTAATTAAATTAAGGATGTCAAAGATGCAGCTGTGTATGTTTGGTGTCATACACAAAATTAGATACAGCAAATTACCTGATTCAGTACATGGCTCCAGACAACTGTAATGGAAAACTGCTGTGCAGAATCAGATTTGCACTTCTTAATTTAAGAACATGGGTTTTCAAACTTTTGGTTATTTGTTCCCCAGGAGCACATAATAAAAAWATGTGACAGATTGTCAGGTCTAAGACACTGGGACATTTCCTGCAGTATATTATTGGAAGCTTCTCTCTAAGATGATTAATGCTGGCRTAAGTTTCCCATCATCAAGGACTTTAATAAACCACATCCTCTGGCAAATCTAGTCATGTCCTTGCAATCAATCCTGTAAAAGTGCCTCAATTTTTTGTAACTCTGCCACAATTTAGTTAACAGCCATCTATCTTTCTCTTGTATTTTCTCCCTCATGACTTTTTCAATAGT